ATGTCGATATTGAATTTATGTGGTACTGTCGACAAGCAAAAATCGAGCTCTTATTTTTACCACCTCATTCAACACACCTCTTACAGCCACTGGATTTATCAGTTTTTTCCGTCGTTAAGTCAAAATACAGGAATCAGATCCGCGACCTCGCAAACCTCAACGACGCCGCCCCTATTAAGAAGGAACGCTTTATTAGCTATTACCACGCAGCTAGAGAGGAAGGCCTCTTAGAGAGAACAATTCGAGCTGGCTGGCGAGCTGCTGGGCTTATCCCATACAACCCCAATCAGGTACTTCAGTCGTCACAAGTTTTAGGCCGACCCGCAACTCCGCCAAAGCTTATTCAAAATATTGCGCCAACAGCTGCGCTCTATCGCACCCCCCAGAAACCCCAGGACCTGTACGCAGCTCAGCGGATACTTCAAAAATCAGAAAAGCTCTCTCGAAGCACCCGTCACATGTTCCAAAAAGCGGGTAAGGCTCTTGCAATTGCAAATACTCGCGCAGCAAAGCAGGACTTAGAGATCTCTCAATTACAGTTTCAACAAGAGACTAGTAACTCTCAAAGAAAGCGAAAACGGGTCCCCGTTAATCAAAACGAGAGGTTCGCCAACGTAGAGAGTATAAAGCGTTCAATCGATGAAGCTGCAGCTTTAGAAGCTCAAAAATTAAGACCCGCTAAACGCAGAGCTACAACAGCTATAAATCGGATACCTGAAACCACTACGTTTAATTCTATGTGTACCCAGTGGCAAATATCCTAGAGCGTTGAAAAATACGCCGTCGTTTTGGTGGCGACGCGTATTTTGGTGGGGTGGACGGAAGCTATGGGTGGACAGAAACTAGGTCAGGCGGCTTAGATAGTATAGTAAATAATAAGGACCTCTATAGAATTATTAGCTAGCACCGCCTTAAGCCTACTCGCCTAGAGGGGCTACTAATTATTAACAGCACTCCCTTCTATAATAAAGGGAAGAAAGCTAAAGCCCTCCGTTAGGCTATCCTCTGCTGCTTTAACGCAGATAATAACCTAGATGCACATTTTTTTCTACAGAAAGGACCTTCCCTCCTATAGGACATAAGCCTTATAATTAAGGAAGTAGAGAGGAATATAATTAGGGTTATAAGCACCTTACTAGAGCTAAATAGAGTTATAGTTTAGCTACTTAAAGCATATTAGCATTCTATTTAGAAGCGCGTCTGTAGTATCTTCTTCTAGTATCTTTAACTTAGCTACTTCCCCTAGGCGTAGAAGCTAGCTAAAGTAGCTATAACACTTAAGGTAGGTAAAAAGGATAGAAGCACCCTACGGGCGTTCTAGCCTATTACCCTACTATCTTACCTTAGTAAAGAGTTTAAGTAAATTATTACTAGATAGATAGCCTAAATAGTAATAATAGAAGGGATTCTTAGCTTATAGCATAGAGGAGCCCTGCTAAAGAGATCTGTAATAGACCTAGTTATAGCTTTTACATATAAGGTAGAGGGGGCTTTTACCTAGAGGAAATGCGTAACTATAGTTACTATAGATGTATAAGAGGCGTTTAATGCCCTTCTAGTTAACTAACTACTACACTATATAAAGGTATAAGGCTAGGCTACTAAGGCACTTTAGCTAACAAACAGCTTCCTTATAGAAAGGTAGGTAAGAGTTAGGCTAGGTAAGTTAATTACTCTTAGCTACCTAGTTTAATGCGGCACCCTCTAGAGATTTCTACTTTTACTAGTACTATATACGCTATACCTTACTAAACTTATAAAAGCTAGCGGTAAGCTACGCTTTAGCTACGCTAATAATATTTATCTCTATAGAGTAGCCTACACTTTAGAGAAGAGTAACCTTCTTATTATAAAGAACGTTAGAAACGTTATTTAGTAGAAAGATAATAACTAAGTAGCGTTTACGCCTAATAAGCTAGAAATAATATACCTTACCTGCTAGAGGGGAACTACAGCGCTATCCTACGTAGTTAATAATACTTTAATAATCTACTTAGTTATATAGGATTAGAACTTACTATAGTAGCTAGTACTCTATTAGCTTAAAGTCTAGTTTAACTAAAGCTTATATTTAAGTAATATATAGCTAAATAAGCTGCTAAAGCCCGCAAGGTAGCTCTTTATATTTAAAGCCTAGCCTAAACTACCTGTAGGCCCCTAGCAGCCTCTCTACGTAAGGCTGTTATTACCTATATTATCCTATAACTACTCTATAAAGTAGAGGCGTAGTATAGAGGTTATATAAAGCCCGCTTCTATATAATACTAGTTTTAGGCTAACTAGGTTAGCGCTAGGCTTAGAGACTACGTTACTATAGTCTATAAGACACTAGCCCTTATAGCATAAGGCTCTCTACCCGCATATAGAACTACACCTATAACTATACTATTCTAGAATACTAGTCTACTCTTAGGCTTAGTTATACTTAAAGAGGTAAAGCTTAGGTTTACTATATACCTGTAAACGGTAGATAATAGACACTCTATTATAAAGCGAATATAGAACTTATAGTTCTAGTAAGGCAGAGGTGCAGGAAGCTTATAGTAACCTAGAACTATTATTAAGCGCGTTAGCTTACTACTTAATCTAGTCCTAAGACTAGTTCTTATAAAACTTAACTTCTCGCCTAACTGTTAGATAGACCCAATAGAAGGAATAGAGAAGAGACTAGTAGCTAAGGCCTTTAAAGAATAGTAGGCGCACCTTCTATAAGATAAAGTTATAGTTTTCTTAGATAGCTTAGAGCACAGTTATAATAAGATTAAGTATATTATATACTGCTATGTTATATACTAAGGTGCATAGAAAGTTAGCTAGAATAGAGGCTTACTAAACACACGCTCTTATATGTTTAACGCGGAAGTAGTAGGAGCATAGCAGGGGCTAGAGCACGTTATACGCATTCTAGCTCTACGTATATAATAAATCTAGATGTGTATTAATAGCACGTCTGTTATATAGTACTTATAAGGGACTATACTATCCTTCTCTTAGTAGGCCTTCCTCTATTACTAATAGGTTATAGACACCTTTAACGTACAGGTACGCTAGTCCCTAGGCTATATAAATATATAGGAAAAAAAAAAGGCGAACTACCTAGCAGACCTTAAGGCTTATAGTTCCTATCCTCTAATACTATAAGCAGCTAAGCCTATAACCTTAGGGCTATAAACTAAAGCCTAAACTAAGCGCCGCCTTATAGAAATAGAATAGTAAAGGTAATATAAGACGAAGCTCTCTACTTAGTATAATTAGTAGAACCTAACCTATATAAGCACCGCTGCACTAGCGGAGCTTAGCCTTAGCTATTAAATTCTAGCTAAACTCTTATTAATAAGGACTATGTGTTACGGTATCCTCCCTAGATCCCCTAACACTGCTAAGTCCTGTTCGTACTATTATTAGTACGCCTAGAACTATTCTCTAAATTTCATCCTAACTAGCAGTTAGTCCGCGCACTAGAAGCACAGACTACCCCCCTAAGTATTTCTACTTCGCACCTATTTTGCTATTTCTGTTCTGTACACAACGTCTTGTATCTACCTAGATATTGCACGTAGTAATTAATTAGTCTTCGCCGTAAGAACTAAAGGCCTACTCGTTGCGTCCTCGTGACACTATGTATAGTAACTACGCTTAGTATTATAAGAAATTTAGATATAAGGACGTAACACTTACCTGCGCATGCAGGAAAGAGAAGGCTCCTAGCTATCTAGTATACTACCTAAGAGTATAAAGACGCTTTACTAGCTAGCCATAGTAACCTAGCTAGCCTCTAATAAATATATATAAGGGACTAGAGTACCTTCAGCAGCTCCTTAACTGCCTAGAGGATTTTGCTGCCTTTATTAAGCTAACTAGCTACTAGGAGGCATAATTATAGGGCTCTCTTTATAGGGAAGCTAGAAGTAAGCCTACTAGGCTAGTTTCTAGCCTATAATACGCTTCCTAGCTTATCTCTCTAGGAAGACTTTGAATAAGTAGAATTAACTAATTTTCTTACTTTACTTGCACAGAGGAGTTTAGGAGATTTAATAGGCTTATCTAGAGTAGCTACTGCATAATCCGTCTCTCCCTTTATAGGGAGAGACGCGTCTCCTATGCCCTACGGGAGGCTTATGTAGATAAAGGCTTTTAGCCAAGTCTATAGGCCGTAAATTAATGCAACAACAACAACAATAACAACAACCAAGACCCAGCCATACCTGTGGAGAAGCTCTCTTGTCCCGCGCACCAAGACATCAGCATCAGCATCTCGAAAAGCCACTCGCATCTAGATCGCATCCTTTACTAAGTTAATCGCATTCGCGATCTGACCATACCTATGTCGCTGGCACACATGTAAGTGATCTCGTATTCTCACCCCGGATTCCCGCACCCGTATTCCAATTAGCCAATTACATTGGAGTCATCGTCGTGTCCCGACTGCTGGTATATGCGGGGTTGAGGTCTGGACTCCTGCACTCAGGTACCGTGCTCCGGGTAGTGTACCCGGGCGCCTCGTATTCGGGGAGCATCAGTGCGCATCGGAGCTGAACGACTGTTTGGGGTGTATAAGGCAATCGGGGCATCATGGAGTGTTTCTGAGAAGAGATGGCTGCTTACTTTCGGGGCTTGATGGGCTGATTACTCTCGAGAGCTACCGGTTGTTGACCCGAAAGCGTACGGTAGGTGCATTCCAGCAGCGGCAATGACGAAACATTCGTAGACGTGACCAGATATGCGTGCGGCCGTATGCTGTTCGGAATAACTAAACGAAGGTTTCTGTACGACGAAATTATTTCGTCCCATAGAATACATAAAAAAAGATCGCGAGCATAAATTTGTCTAAAAACCTTCTGTTCTTTCATCGCATAACAAAAATGTGAAATAACAGCAAGAGGGGAGAACGGAACACGGTTGTCCTGTGATCTCGCTTGTGAATTTTGTTCCCTCTCAGCTCATACGACAAATACACATTCAGACAAAGGCAAAAGCCAAAACAAAGCGCAAAGGAATGTTGAAGTAAACCAGAATCGAACTGGTATCCTACGGAACTTGAATTTGTCGCTCTCCCTTTGAGCTATTACTCCTTTGTATACCCTACAACTGTTTTGTGGTAGAAACTATTATATATCCTATGTAAAAATGGAGGAAGAGAAGATAAAAATAAAAGCTATAGAGAGAGGTGGTGTAGGAAATGAACGCTTTTACGAACAAAGAAGCAAGCAAAGAGGCGACGACAAAGGAGTGACATGTGAAATACTGAGGGCTTGCATTTCAAAGGTGCAAGGCCAGATATACAAAAGAAAAGAGAACGAGGCCTACCTAGATGGGATATACTGCGCAATTTACCAACTCTATGCTATAATTTCCGACATCGACATTTCATGAACTTAATACACATTTGAAATATACAACTACGCACACTCAGTGAAGAGCATATTGTTTGTTCTAATACCTTATATCTAACAACAGTGCTTAGAGAAATTTGGGATGCTCCTCTAATTTTCAGGTCACTCCAGTAGGCCGAACTAGCGAGCGTTTCGAAAGTGTGTTCCATCGTGGCGGTCTGTGAGGTAGTAGGCAAAATTTCAATCCGAAAAAAATAATCAGCCTGGTAGACTCCAACAGTTACTCATCCCATCTACGTGTCTTCAATACGCTGAGCATTACACTAAACAAGTACATATATTAGCGGCGGATCAAGAGATGTGTCGAGATATGATCACGTGACTTAGTCTCTCACCAACGGCTCCAGGGCACATGACCTTGACATCAGAATATGACATCTGCTTCCTATTTTGCCAACGATATGAAACGAGTCCTGAACTCCACAAAGAGAAATGTACCATCCTTCACCTCAGGAGAGCAACAAGTTCGTGGACCCACAAGGTGTGCTTGGCGTCAGCTATTTTCGGCGCAAAACGTGTCGTCTCATCCTAAGCCATTGAATGCGCACCCATCACAGCACTTGCAATGAGGAGAAAGAGACTCATCGTTGATATCCTCGGCCGCGTTCTGCATGCACTTCTCGTGCTCGTTCTTTCGTACCTGCTCTTCCGAGCCGTCTACTACGCCTTCTCGCTTCTCGCCAACGAACCGCCACCCGGAACGCCGCGGCCTCAAGAGGTGACTGTAGACAACAAACCTAGTCCGCAGGAAATAGTGAGTATTCCAACTACTGATGCGCAGTGGAGAGAGGGATGGAAGCAGGGGAGTTTAGCTAACGACCGCGGTAGGCTGAATCGCTGAATACGTATTGGTTGAGCTGGGATCAGGATCATTGTCGCAACGTTTGCGAGGCTTCTAGGAAGGCGTGCTGGATGAGAGATTGTCGGTTGGTGCCAGGAGTTAGGCAATGGGGTTGAACAGTGCCAGCACGAAAGAAGAATGCGAGGTCAGGTTCGTTATCGATACGCGCGGCGACAGTCGCGTATTCCAGGAGGGTTGGAAATCCGACCGTTTGGATTTTTGATATCGCTCGAACAGCCCCTATGCTCCATATACTGGGTTGCGAAGGTCTCAACCTCACGTAACACACAGGTGAAAGAACAATCACGATGTGGGGTTTGCGCCGCTCCACTGCTGGTTTTACCCGGTGCGCGATGCGCCCCACACTCGGCTATACGATTTCGGGAATGACGTCTCATGGCAGATCTACCTCATATCGACTAGATGAGGCTTGAAAGAAGCGACCAGGGCCATTGGCTGTTTGTTCTAAGCTCTAATGCTCTCCAGCCTCCCGCACGAGTACTTCATCTTTACATATTACCACGCAAATACTCCATTATTTCTTAAAAGCACAACAAACCCCAAACATGAAGGCCGTCAAGCTCAATTCCGTCAATCGCCAAAATGCTCCCTCGAATTCTCATTACCGCTGCGCCTTTGGTAGCCACCGCGGCTGCCGCCTTCAACTGCAGTAGGCCCTACCTCCAATCCACGGCCGACAAATATATCGCCATGCAAACTACCGGCAAACGCGAGAAGTTTGACAACACTGCCGGCAACTTGGTCTATCTCGAGAACAACGTCACATCCTCTATCGAATCAGGCGTACCGGGCACCCCCTTGGTCATCGCAGCAAACCGTTCCTCGCTCGACACGACTGCCTGCAGAACTTTCACCGAACTGATCGTCACGGACCCAAAGCACCCATACGTGATCCACACGCAAATGACTCTCGACACCGTGGGCAACGTTGCTCTAATCGACAGCCTGGTTTCGGACAAAGGCGACTGGGCCTTCAATGCTACTGGATATCTCTACTGGAATAGCCAAGAAAACTGGGACCCTATTCCCGAATCCAAACGCCTCTCTCGCGAAGTTATCAAGGCCGCTGGTGACGCCTACGCTGACCGATGTAATGATGTTACTGTAGTTGTACCCTTCGGAACGCCATGCGCTCGCCTCGAAGGCGGCGCGTATACCGGCCGCGGCAACCTTTCTGCCAACACGTGCAATATCGGTGGTCTGCCTGAACACGTGCCCATGACAAACCGACGGTACGTTGTGGACGAGGTTATGGGCACGGTGGATATTTTCCTGGGGTTCCAGGGCCTGGATCGCACAAGGCCGAAGGAAGGGACACCAGACAGCCATCTGTTTAGGGTGGAGGACGGCAAGATTAGGTATATCCACACGGTCAGTGCATGCTTTGTGGATGGGTGTGGGATGAATGGGACGGCGCCACCGATGTAAAAGATAGGTGAAGGGTGAATGGTGAAGGCGGTGAAGATAAAAGTACAATTCGCGCACGCGGTGAGCAGTCGAAGTTCGTGTCGTTAGCTGGTGAAGTCGATTCCTTTGTGTAACTGCAATCAAAATACTCTCACAGCCTGAACTTGCACTTGCACTCAACTCCACTCCACTCAACCCTTCGCATCACCACGCGGAACAGCCCGTCAGCACATATCCAAACCCCTCACAGCTTCGCGGTTTCGAGCCCAGGTTTGCGGCCGCTGCGCCCATCTTGTTCAAGGTACCCCAGAGAACCACGTCTGCAGTCCCTGCCCGCCACTAACCCTGCCGTCACATCAGACCGTACCGCGCCGCACCACATCATCCACCAGTCATAACACCGCCTCACCTCCACAATGTGCAAGCAGCTCAAGACCGGATATTCCTGGTGCCCCCACGTCTACTCCGACTCCGACATCGAGCCCTGCGCGGTCGCCATCCAAGCCTCCCAGGTGGTCCGCGACCAGCACCGCGAGGGCAACATGTTCTGCAAGAAGATCAAGTGGCAGTGGAGGGAGGAACGGGTGCAGGGGCAGTGTGATTGGTGCTGGGATCGGGTTGTGGAGCCGGCTTGGAAGAGGAGGAAGAGGGAGAAGCTCATGGGGAAGGAGGGGAGTGATGAGGCTGGGGAGGAGGTGGAGGACGACGAGGGAGAGGACGAGGAAGAAATTTTTGAGAGCGTGGAGGTGGAAATGGAGGTGGAAATGGAGGTAGAGGCGGAGGCGGATGATGAGGATGAGCATGGGGTGGATGGAGATGGTGAGAATGGGCTTGAGGTCGAGGATGGCGAAAATGGGCATGAGGTTGGGAATGATGAGAATCGGTACGAGGTTGAGGATGAGATGGAGGGTGTGGAGAGAGGACTTTGAGGGAGAAGATGGCAGGTGAATAATAAGGGGGATATTTGCTCTGAGAGGGTCGCCAATCGTGGAGAGTTTTGGCAGTAGGGCGCTTGCGTGATTCGCGCATTTTCTTCACGTAGCGATGACCACGATACCCTCCACGCAAGACTTAGGTTATGCGCCGCTTATTACATGGTGGTCACTTCTATGGCACAGGCGTCTCCTTGCGAAAAGCAGGGTGCAAAGACAATGAAAAGCTAGGAACTCATTCACAATGTCCACGAAACTTCATGGATAGGATGGTGAAATACAGAAACATCGTTGCCGACAAATCAGAAATCAACCAGACGCATTCAGAAGTCCGAGTACACACTCTTCAAGAAAAGGATTAAAACCACCATTCTGCACATAATCTCAGATCTGCAGCCACACTGTTGATGGCTTCGCGTAGACGACAAAGAAAATTCGTGAAATGCCTTGTGCTGTACATGAACGTTTGTTTTGTCCACGTACAAACCTGCGTCTCCAAAAGTCAGTGAGAACACACAATGTACTGCCACAAGTGGTATATAAACCATAAAATGCCTAGTCAGATAGGATTATAAACACAAACTCCAGACTCACAACCGATCGGACTAACACCAACTCACTCAGACCAACTCAAACACTACCGCCGCTAACATGTGCATCTACTCCTACAAGCGCTGGGAAGGCTGCGGCCATGTTGCGGAAGACCTGTGGTCGGATTGCCATCGCAAGATGGCCGGCCGCCGCTGCCGCACTTCAGAGACCGGACATCCTACTCATACCATCGAAGGCCCTGCCTACACTGAGTTTGGTCGGAATGAATGCATCCATTGCGAGAATGCGCGGCACGCGCGCCATAGCCGCCGTGGCCGTCGTGGTGGTTGGGGTTAAGGGGGGTACGAGTAGAAGTGGGATGGTGTAGTGGCAAGGGTGTTGATTAGTCTGCTCATAGGTGAGATCCCGGATTGTTAGCAGAGTCACGGCATGGTCTTCATGGTTTTGATGCCAAGGAATGTCTTCATACATTTGTTTCTGTTGTCTTTTATGGGGCTAAGACCCATCTGCATCTGTGATTCATCGTTAGTGATTGGGCTAAGGCATGTGCGCATCCTAGTTGCAAATATCAATTGACATTTATCATTTACTTCTTAGTGTCTTTTTTCTGTGATTCAGTACCTTAGATAGATAGGAGTTAGTCACGATGAAATATAACGGCTTCATCTTTGATTCGGTCAGTGATATCATTCACGCAACGTATTCGAAATTTCCACGTAGCTCTCCGGAGCCGCTATCAAGCGCGACGCAGGTCACGACACGAACGCATCGTCGAGCCTTATGGCGTAGTATACGTGCGAGTCCTTGAATTTGATGGCCGCTCTTTTCAGCCCTTCTCTTTATGCTAAATGTAAAGACAAGACCTCGATCAACTCCCACACTTCAGTCATGGGGAAGTGTTTGTCTGGACTGAGACACCTCGCCGC